GGAATATGGTACCATTCTTTACATTTTCCAAACTATATATTATACATACATATTTACCACGAATAAGAAGCCAATAATATTAAGAATTCACATAATGAAATTCCGCTTGGCACCTTCTTTTTATCTGTCTGTATATCAATGTCCGCAACTGTATTTATAAAATCATACATAAGCAAACGTCAAATATTTAAAAATGTGAACGTCAAACATATCTCGTTGTGGTAATGGAGACGGTTGTGATTTAGTAACTGGATTGATTAAATCTTAATGGATAAATCTCTCAATGGAGATATAGTATAAGGTCCTTTAATATCTTAAAAATTATCAGGTCTCTAGCAACACAAGATTAATTACTGTCTTTACGTTAATTACGTTCTTTAAATAAATTCTGAGCTAAATACTGAAGTATAGTCATGAATATCACGTTTTATTTTTTACTTAAGTTTAAATACTTACATAGATAATATCTGCACCTATTTCTTTAATGCATTCACCCGAATTTCGGGGGGCTATTACTAGTCTATATATGTATAATTGCTCAGTCATACGACTTAGTTAGGGCGATCTGTTGCAGCTACAGAATTGAGTTGTATATCAAATTAAAGTGCAAGCTCCACAGGTTATTCAAAAATTGTCAGATTTCAAATCGGTAAGTAGATAGGGCGATCTGGTGTAGCTACAGAATTGAGTTGTATATCAAATTAAAGTGCAAGCTCCATAGGTTATCCAAAATTGTCAGATTTAAAATCGGTGAAGTAGGTGCTACAATATAAGCGTTTAAACATTTCCTTGCTTCACTCTCAACGTATCTATATATAATTGCTCAGTCATATGACTTAGTTAGGGCGATCTGGAGTAGCTACAGAATTGAGCTGTATATCAAATTAAAGTACAAGCTACAGTAACGTGGCAGTGACGTGGAGTGCAATGGGGTATAGTCATTGCGCTGGGTATGCAGTTACAGTTGCTTGGCTATACTCAATCCCGACTCTTGCGTCCTCGTTCGCGCACTATGGGCAACGTGAGCAACCCATGTGCGAGATGCGGTAACCAATCCGAGTGGAGCCTTGGGTCACGGCAGAAAGAGAGGGAGCNGATGCGGTAACCTATCCGAGTGGAGCCTTGGGTGACGGCAGAAAGAGAGGGAGCTTCGGTGGGGCCACTCTGACGTATTCGGTTTAAGGGCTTACTGAATTCTGCAGCATCTGTTCACCGGTACGTGCGGCTGCAAGCGGGTGTCTGCTTGGAGCAAGCGGCTCGCTATATAAACGTGTATTTGGTTGCGAAACCACCCCCGTCCCAGCAATGGGTTGTGCGCTGGGCTTGGGACCCGCCACGTAAAAACCACTTCCAGTGAAGAAGCAAGGCAAAGCCTCGGATGAGACGATCACGGCAAACGTTCAAAGGACTACGATTTGAGGGCATGCACCTGGGATGCCCGGACCCTTAATGGGGAAGGTGCCTCTGCCCGGCTGGTTGATGTCCTCGTAAGGACAAAAGCTGACATCACCGCCATCCAAGAAATGCGTTGGACGGGGCAAGGCAAACAATGTCTGGGGCCTTGCGACGTCTACTACAGCTGCCA